TGTAATGTACGTTTTTTGGGGGTGGTTAATGAAAGTTCTAAAAAAAACGACATTAATTTCTTGCCGACCTAATATAAAGACTGAAAGTGCATTTAGTTTTATGGCAGTTAAAAAGGGTGATTAATATGATAGGAGTTAAAACAAACTTATAAAATATAACAGATGTTAAACAGATCTGTTAACTTTAGTTATGTTAAAACAGATATGTAAAATAAGGCATTACAAAAAAAGATGTAAAACAGTTTTCGAACAATAAAGAATAAAAAACAAGTTGTGTATTTTGTCGTCCTTTGTTAAAGAGATTCACTGAGAATTCAAAGCTTATCAAAGATGTGTCTTTCATATTACTGCAGTTACGTATCACAACATGCACAATATATGTTGTATTTCTAGAAACAACTTGACCGAGCCATCTAGCTGGATCATTTTAGTGTTCAACTTCTTAGTTAGAATGCTTTATTTAATTGAACGATTATATTCAGACCTAGCCATTCAGATAATGGAAACTTGCTCAGACGTCACAACTTAGTTATACAATATTAGAGTATGATACAGAGTACTCCAATTTTTCTTGTTCTATGGGCTGTACAAAGTTCTTTGGTGCTCTTCTGAAAGCGCACAAGAAGCTTTCAGACTATACGTATCAGCGGTTAAATGCTGCATTGTTGTCATTTTACGATAATAATCATGTGTTCTAATGGCTACTTTAAAAGTAAATTTAATTGGATTTGATAGATACAGTTAATAACATAGTTCAACTTTTTTAATGCTTTATATTTACATATCCAAGTGAACGGCAGAGTAATTATTTTCGTTATTTTTGTTAATACAGGCGAAGATAGTAGAGGTTGTAGCTTACAAAATTAACGATTTTGTTAAGTAATGTTGAAAGGATAGCAGTTATTCAGTGCAGGCAACATTTTTTTCCGACAGAACTTATATCTTATAAGATGCACGATACCAAAGAATTACAAATTTCTTTATAAATTCTAAGAAACAAAACTGTTGTAATTGAAGTAGAAACCAAAAAACGACATTCTTAAAACATATCTAGCAACATATTCATAGTACAGTTTTTTATTTGATCTTTACAAGAGTTAATCGCACTTTATAAGAATAACTGTGTCACCATAGATGAGACCCGATGTGCCACTGACGATATGCTTATCACTTATCTTATATATTCGGTTTGCAGAAAATTCTTGACCATACAAAAGTGATGGCTGGAGAAAGAGAACCCTCGAACCCAAACTGCCTTGCGATGAAGCGGATATATATTCTGTTACTGTTAACTAGATAATAAGCAAGGCTTAGAAGTTGACAAAGGTTCATATGATGATGAATTAGAGCCATGTTTCTTACATTACATTTTACAATGTAGCAATTTTCTTACATTTCTGAAGAATAGATGTTGAATAACATCTGTACCAATATTTCTAATTTCATTTTGTGACACACGTATACTAGAAAATAAAGATACGTAGTTCAGGCTACAACCAAAATAACGTAGTTTCATGCTCTATGTATCTGGTGCTTTTATAAAAATCACTTAAGTATTGAATTAATTACGTTCTCTACCTATTCGTGCCGGCATGGCCAGGTGGTTAAGGCGGTCGACTCGCAATCTGAAGATCGCGGTTTCGAATCCCCGTCACCCCAAACATGCTCGCCCTTTCAAGTGGGTTGCATCCTTGACTATGAGAAATGAAAAAAAAACATATTCCTTAGAGTTTAAAGTACAGTTTTAAGTTGTTGTCATGAAATTTCCATTGACAACTAATGACCTTATGAAACAACGCTATTCCTAAACCAGTTAGATACATTGTTAGCCTTAATACTCTTTAAATGTATTCCGTTTCCTTACTTTGGTAGTTTAATATAGTTTATCCAGGTTTCTTACAATTAATTTAACGCCATTTTACTGCACTGGTAGTGTTATTACAATAGTTTAGTTTTTACTCTTTCCCTCTTATTATATTGTTAGTTTGTAATACAATCTAGTTTTGTCGCATGTCTTTTCATTGCTCTTGTTTCCTGTTTTAGTAGAGTTTAGTTGTATTCCCTTGGTATTACCATGGGTACCATAATATTTCATCCTTACTTCTGTGTTTTCTACACCTTGGAATAGTAGAGATTCAACTAGAAACTAGAAAGCAGTTGTCAGTGAACAAGTGTTAATTTGTTAATGATAAAAAAGAAATAGGAAGTAAGTTAACTCGAAAACGATGAAGATGGAATAAGTAGTTAACCTGTAAAGGATGGTGATGGTGGAGACGGAATAGAAAGTGAGTTAACTTGTTAATAATGGACATTGAGAACTAAGTTAACTTAAAAGTGATAACGACAAAATAGGAATTATATTAACTTGTGAATGACAAAGACGAAGCAAGAAGATAGGAGACCGTACAATTTCGCACTCGTCACGTATACAATGAGAAAAAGTATTGTTTGAATAAAAATAATAAAGACAGATATTTGTCAAAAAGGAACAATGAAGAAAATAAAGATATAATAGAGAAACAATATACGAATTAGAAATGATTAGAATAGAGAATATAAGGGCTGTCGTAAGTTAGAATTAGAAATTATGGATTATCTGATTGTAAACATTTAAAAAGTAACAAAAAGGTCTACAAAAAGTTAAGATGGAAAAAGATTATGACTATAATAATGTAGAAAATGATAAGAAAGTCTACAATGAAAAAAATACAATAGTTTAAGAAGAAGAGATAAGAAAAAAATACTGTGATTTGTCTGTTACGTACATTAAGTGTACGTGATAAAATGGGAAAACCCTATTGATAACATATGAAACACAACCCTATATTAACATAATCAATAGAAAGTTAGTGTTATCGATAGCGTGAATTTTTAAGAGATAAGTAAATGACCTAAATGTGATTAGAAGATTATTCAACAATTTTGTGAAAATAACTGATGCCCTTTGTATTTATATGATAAAGGTATATTTGTACAGGCACATATATAGAGATATTCTTGTTACCAGAGTTTCTATAGCGTCATAAAACTTTAGTGAAAAAGAAAATCACAGTAAATATTATTGTGGAGAGAATAGCTGATTTGAATTATCAGCGATAAATCAATATTACTAAACAGTATGTTAAAATAGAAGTGTAACATATTACTAAACAGTATGTTAAAATAGAAGTGTAACGAAAATACTTAATATGGGCCAGAGTCCAAAGTTTATCTGGTAGTGGAACTAGGGTTTCGTAACAAGCGTTACTGTTATTATTGTTAACACTTTTCTAAGATTCTATTTATACACTGATAGGCTGTTGTTAATTTAATAACAGTTGTTAGTCTACTGAAAGGTTATAGTTAACACACTTACTTCCTCTAACATAGATGTCTCTGCTGGTAATACTACCAACTGTATTAGTTGCAACACAACGATATACTGTCGCATGAATTTCTTGTTTGTATTCATCCGCTCCAAATGGAGAGAACACCAGTGACCCATCAGGTCGTACACGACGTATCTCTGGAATATCTCTAACTGGGATGCTATCTCTAGTCTCCCACCTCACCAAAGGGGTAGGTGTTCCTCTAACAGAACATGGTATCACTGTGCCAGTAGAATTTGAAAAATCAACCTTGCTTGGAGGCTCGTACATAAATGTAGGACTCCTTTTCTCCACACGGTAGCTCTGACCTGGAGTGCAAAATATGTTAAATTTAAAATCGTAAGAGAAAAGTTTTTTCTTGTTATTTTCCTTATGACTAAAAATCACTAATTCATGTGTTCATTTATTTCAGTTCTTTCATAGTCTACTGCAAAATTACACAACAACAATGTAATCTAGTTCACCCCGAAACAATTGTTTTACAAGCAATTTAATAATATAAGTAGCGTCTCAACCACAACAATGTTTGTCGTATCTCAGCCAGTCTGGTATTACGCGAAAGGCCTCTTTGAAAGTAAAGAAGAACGTATAATCTTAGTTCTTATTAATAGTTTCAAAATAGCTAAGATTTTTATTATGATAAGTAAAGCAATATACACATTTGTGTTGTAAACGACAATGTCAAAAAAACTGAATTATGAGATGTTGCTTAAAGTTATCAACAAGAGATTAACAATAATTATCAAGTGTTAATAAATTATTTATTTGATTTTATATCATCTATTTAATTAGCTTCAGCTGCATTTTGGACACAAATGCTTCTGTATTAAAGCAAAATGAACTTTTCTAAGCCCACACTTTAATTGTTAAATATGGTTCGTTTTAGACTAGTTGAACGAATTGCTGAACATAATCCATATTAGAGAGATGGTGAATAACTTAAAGTTGTTTACGATGTGTTAATTTTTAAAGTATGGGCTACCTTATTATGCTTGTAATTTAATGGATGTGATCTGTGTTTGGGTGGCGGTGAATCACTAAGCATGGGTTCTGAATTTTGTTGAGTTATACAGTATGGGTTATGTTATTATGCTAGTGATTTAATGGACGTGGTTATGGCTTTTGTGTTTATTTTTACAGCATGGGTATGTTAGGATGTTTGATCCTTATTAACATTGGGTGATATTTGAGTGGAGGCAAATCACTAAACATGTAGGTCGTTACTAATTATAGTTAATTGTTAGATGGTTACAAATTTCTGAGTTTTACGATATTTAAGGTGGTGGTAAATTACTTAGTAGATTTTATTGTATGGTGGCCAAAAAGTTACTGAATATGATTAATTATAGGGTGTTGATAAATTACTGGATACACTTTATTTTGCGGTGGTAAACAATTACTGAGTATAGTTAATTATTGGGTGTTGATAAATTAGAAAGTATATTTATTGTTTTGTGGTCAGTAATTACTGAGTATGGTTAATTATAGGGTGTTGATAACTGTATTATAAAGTGGTGGTGAGTTACTGAACATGGATCTATATATATTGTTACGTCTCCGTTTGTTAATTGATTTTTTCGTAACTTCGTTCC